GGGGGCGGGAAGAGGGGGGATCAAACCAGGGACCCAATCTCGATGGGAGGTTTTCCAGAACTAGACTTAATTTCCAAGTTAATCAATTAAGTACTTTGCAGATTAAAAGTCTCCACTGAACCAGGAAGCTACCAATATATACTGCCAACGTAAGTGAAAAGAAGTAGTAAGGGTTACCTGACGAAAAATTTAAAAACAAAAAACTCCACCCAGCTTGTAGAGCAGTGGCTAGCTGCAGCAACAAGAGCTTCATAGCTCAGTCTTCTGGAGATCATTAATTCCATTATAGTTTATAGAAAAAGTTGCAGAGGATCGAAGGAACACAAAATGATGAAGGAGGTTAAATACCCATCTCTTTTGAAACAAAGAAAGATGGCAGATGAAGCAGGCAGGACCCTCAACTTTTACACTTTCTCTAAACCCTTTCAAAAAAAAGGTGTACTTAAGTTGCATTTGTAATTTGGTTCATAAATTTGCAGTTAGAATCCAAGACACTGTCTTTTTCCTCCGGTTAGCTATTACTGCAGACTAAATATGGCCTGAGCTAGCATTCTTCAAGTACAGACAGAATTTATTCAGTTGGATTATACATCAGATTTCTGTAATGTTACTAACACTAAGAGGCTGACAAATGCTACATGACAAGACTGTACTACCACAAACAGAAACAGAGACTGAAGTACATCGACTTGCATGTTTTTGTTATGTCACGCTCTGTTTTCATTCCTTCCTGCCCTAGGTGCTCCACCTGCTTCTTATTCTAGCTTCCTTCACACACATTACGTTTAATTTCTGAGGGTGACCAACGCAGTACTGTGTCAATCTTAATGATAAAAAACATAAAACAATTTAGTTTCATAATAGGAAGGGCATTTAACCCACATTTTCCCAGTCAAATATGAAATTGAAAAGAATCCAAAATTATCCAGTGCTTGCTCTGGTATGTTGGTAATACCTTCAACAAACCTAGCAATGGACAAGCAAAGAAAAGTTGCATTTGATTTGAAATGCATGCCAAGTGCAAAACTGGTACTGCCTTTCTGCATCAGGGAGGAGAGCTGGACTGCTTGGGGGATGGGTGGAGAGAAGCATCCCCCTCCCGCCTTCTCAGGAAGAAAAGCACTGATGAGCATGTTTCAACAACAGAAACCCAGCCAGGTGGTGTAGGGAGAAAACAAGCACATATATATATTAAAAAAAGCATATATAAAAACACTTTCATACAGCCTGACAGTAGACCATCTTCCCAAAACGCATGCGATTCGTTCTCAGCAAGTGTTGTCACTATCTGATGATTTACATTAGTTACATTTTGAATGAATAAAACAGTCTGAACGAATGTAGTAGATGAGTATATTTATTTAGTATAGTTACAAAATACTTACCTAGCTAGTTGTGCCAACTCTTTTTGGGTCAATGGACTTCCTTGCTTGCTTAGAAGATTTTTTAGCAAAATCAATCTTGTCTGAAAAGAAGATACATTTATGAGATGTAAAACTCATTTTCACGGTACACTTAAAATTCTGTTGCAACAACGTTTGTCAGGTTAACTTTTGTACTTCACTAGTTTAAACTTGCCTATAGTGCCTCTGTGATTAGACTGCACACTACTACCTCTTCATGGGAAGAGATAGGCATTTGCTAATAATGAGATCAAGGGTCAAACTACTTCAAGAATAATACATTAGAATCCTCATCAAAACCCCTAATCTGCTGTTGAGCTGAATAACGTTACTTTAAGAAAGCTACTTTCATCTTTTGCAATAAACACTCTTCTCCAGCCAACCAAAAGTGCTCCTGCAAGCCCTACTTCAGACTTGTCCGTGCCTGCCAGTATGTAAGCAACACCTCACTAGCCAAGAAATACCAGACTGGCTACTAGCACGTGTAAAAAAAAATGCAAAAACTTAAGACAGTCACCAGGATTAAAGCACAGTGTATATGGCCAAGCTAGGCCAGAAGTTAATTCACAGAATTGTGATCATCCACTAGGGCAAGTTAAAAATAGCCTATGAAATATATTTTATACTCTTTTTTAATAAAATTGATCTTAAAATGAAGAGAATGCATGGAAAACAATACTTACTTCCTCATTTGGTAAAGACACATATACCCGTTTGGTGAATCGTCTAGAAAAAAAACCCAAGCATATATACAGACACACTTTTATAATGTTTTAGCACATACAGATCTAACATTTGGTTTGATAAATGTCAAAATTTCACTTACATCATCAAATTCTAGAGAGTAGAACTACAGATTTAAAAAACCCCAAACAAACCAACAACCAAACAAAAAACATGCACGAGCCAGTGGTGTCACCTTACTCTTATTTGAAGTTATGAGACTCCTCCCAGAGAAGAAACACTCTAAAAGGTAGAAATACCACTGACTACCAGCAACAAAATGAAGCATCTCTTCATTGTACACAAAAAGTCTTTGGAATCGTTAAAAATGTGTTTTATTTGTTCAGACAGTGCTGACATGCCTATTTTCCTCAATCAAGAATGAAAAGAGAAGAAAGTATGAGAACTTGTAGCAAAAAAAGTCCTAAGGCAAATCTACTTAAGATCTGTAATTGCATGGGACATCAGAAGTCCAATAATCACAGAGAAGAAATACTGCATTTCACTGGTCAATTTTCTTCCTTCATCCTGCCATTAAGATCCAAATAATAAAAAAGCAATATACAAGATGCAGAAGGGTTATAAAATGCTGACTTGGTCTCAACTGGTATTGCTGGTTTAGACAATTCCAAGGTCATCGTGCTTGTGCAGATGTATCCCAAAAGAGAAGAGAGAGGCACCTCTCTGAGAGGTTAAATAATTTACCCTTGCCGAACAGCTTTTGCTACTTATTCCAAAACAACCAATACACTAAGTAGCAAAACCCGCTTTTCATAATGAACATCATATTATTGTATTCAAACAAAGGAAGAGACATTTTGATACCTGAGAACAGCATCATCAAGCTCCTGTGGCCTGTTTGTTGCTCCCATCACAAGTATTCTGTCCTCTCCAGAACACTGCACCTATATAACGTAGGAAGGCAAGACAGCTTTCGGTTTACATCAAGTAGTAATACAACAAAACCAGTTAGAGACTTGCCGTGTATTCAGCACACTGATGGGATCTTACTGCATGTGCTCCCCCCCCCCTGCAGTTAGCTTTAGAACATTCTTTAGATAAATGTGAAGTCAAACTAGGAAAAAGTAAAAAGAAAAAAAAGAAGGAATGTAAACACAGGACACTATGCCTAAGTTACGTTGCTTGAAAAGAGTCTTGCAAGAGTACAAATGTTGCTGTGGAATTGCACATTATAACGCTGGAGAAAACTGAGATTACAAAAAGCACTCAGAAGTTTAGTCATCCAGAGATAATTATGTTTAAAAAGCTAGAGACTTTCTGCTGTTGTGGGTTTTAACACCAAACATTGTTTTGAAGCCTATAGAGAAAGAGAGAATCAAGCTTTACACTAAGGTACAGCCAGAACCACTAAATCAGATCAGAGGTTCATCTAATATGGGTCTCACAAGAAGCTAGTAATCAAAATGAGAAGCTGTTCAATAGTATACAGACACAGTAATTTCCCCCCCCACAAATCACTCAATTGCAAGACTTGATGTTATACCCAAGAATATGGAGACTTGCAGCTCCGGACTTCAGAGAAAACATTTGGGTATCAGAGATGTGTTGTTACTCACCTATCGTCCAATCCTTCATAGACTTAAGTTCATTGATGCCTTACTGAGTCCAAAAAGTTCCACAAAAATACTATATGATATAGTTATACCTTGATCCAAAGTTTGCTAACTTACTAATTATGTTTAATTTTCCCCTTTTCATTTTAAGAGAAAACTCTGTGAGAGTGTGTGTGTTTGTGTGTGTAATAATTTCTGCATATCATTGTCACATTGCATTATTTGTCCTGATTCACCGCACTTTGGAAAAGTTTTTCCTGATCGCAGTGTCTCTCTATACAGTTATCTTCTCCTCCTGTGCCTCATTACTATTGCTTCACCACTATAGCAATATTCCACTGTGCTAGTGGAATATAAACTAAAATTGTTCAACACAAAAAACAGTGCTGTGTGACAGAAAAATATTCTGATATTTATTTATTTATTATTTATTTATTGTGTTCCCCCCTGCCCCCAACCATGAAACCCAGTTCCTTTTCGTGGGTATTACATACATGCTATTAAATATATTCTTACTGTATCCTGTCATCTCTAGGTCATGATGCCAAGAAAAAAATTATAGCTCAATAAAAAGCATACTAACACAGAAATTAATCCTTCTGATGTGTCAGTGCTGTGTATACCCATGATTTGAACTAGTCTGTTTGAAATCCTCATCCCTCAAGTCTCACCTCACCCCTTAACAGTGCACGTTTTTGTGACACATATCCCTTAAAAACCAAAAAGACACTACTTAAAAGCCATTTAATCTTCTTTTACTTTGCCAGAATGAAGAGATGTGCTTCACCAAAACATGCAAGTGCAAATAAGGATTCAACTCTGCCTAACCCTCAAGTGTCCCTCTTGCCCTGTAAGAACATTTGTTCTCACAACTCCTTTATTATTGCCATTTGTTATCCTTTCTTCTCTGTCCATTGTCTTTCAACCCATTATTTCAGCTCATCTCCGGATTACTACCTCTCACCCCAGACTGAATTTTCCAGAATACTACAATACGCAGGTGAAAAATTAACAGCAATAGAAAAAAAGCTGTTTGCCGACCAAGGTAGGGGGGAGGGGGACAGAGCTAAGCCCCAGCAGCAAAATCCTCTGTAGCTGTACTGGCACCCACTACATTAGCCAATTCAGCTAAATCAAACAATACCCAAGACTAAATACTTACACCATCAAATTCTATTAAAAATTCTGTTTTTAGACGCCTACTAGCATCATGTTCACCTTCCCGTCTTTCACACAAAAGGCTATCAACTTCATCTAAAAAACAAAGAAGTACATCTTAATTAAGCATACAACATCAAAGTCGTCTTATTTGCCTAAGTTCTTTTGCTAATATAGGGCTCCAGTAAGAGAGATCAGATCTGTATTCCTTAGGAGACAGACAGATCCTAGTAAAGTTTAAAAGCTTGTATAACGTGTCGTCCTTTGAATATGTAACACCAAGCACAAATGAGAGAAAAAAAAATCCTTCTGATAAACTGCAACTCAGGACAAGCAAAACCCATTTTCGCGTTTGAAGTTTAATACATAAATGGACTTACTCTGTAAAGGTAGTACAGCATTTGTGTTTTTAAGGGCATTTCTTCACACTATTAACACCAATTAAATAACATAACAGTAATCTAACATGCTCTAATGGAATTACTCTTTAGCTAGCAGGTCATATCCAAGACGCTTGCTCTGTACTGCAGAATTACCCGAAGAAGTTTACCCGATGATTCCAATTTAATAAGTCAAAATATTTAAGAAAATACACAAAAGTCAACAACGTTTAAGGTCTTACCAATAAAAATGATAGAAGGCTGAAGTTCTCTGGCTACTGCAAATAGAGCACGCACCAGTTTCTCCCCTTCACCTACCTAAAACAACAATAAACTGTTTTTGGAGGGTGTTTAGAAAGTGTTTATTACAAGAGAGCTAACATAAGGACCTACAGAAAATCTTGCTGATAACCAACCACACTTAGTCCATTCATACACTCTCAGATTATCACTAGTTCAATATTACATACAACAGCATTGTTTATGTCTTAAGAGAAACATTACAACTTCACTTATGATCACAATTGAGCTGTCAAGAGATTTTGGTGCCTAAATTATCAGAGTGAAAGGGAGCTGGGACCCACTTAATTTACTTTTTAAAGAAGGAAAAAACCCACAACCACTCATCTATATGACAGCCAGGGTCACCCTGAACTGCAAAAGCCTTTGACATTGAGTTATCACAAGCACAAAATAAAATTTTTTACTTCACAAGTCACTCTTTGAAAACTTTATGTTCACTATAGGCTAACAGTTCATCAGGGACTCATCAGAAGTCTCTGGCCTTCTTAAGCCCCAACTACAACATGTGTGTTTTCCGATCAATATAATTTACACCTGCTACTTACGTATTTTGAAGTTAGGCTCGCTGCACTTATGTTAAAGAAAGTAGCATTTGATTCTGCAGCAACTGCTTTGGCCTAGGACGGAGGGGGGAAAAAAAGTACTTTTTTAAAACATCACATTGAAGATACTTTTCTGCTTCTGTAGCTAGCACTCATGTCCTGATTGACAATTTTGAAAACACCTATTCCTTCAAATGGAACATCCTGTAGATGCTACAGAAAACTTCTGTACAGGCCACTTACAAATAAGAATGGATAAGCAGTCGAACCACTACAGAAATTTCCAGACTCCCTTCGACTTTTCTAATCACATCATCTCCACAGCCAACTACAACTTGCTTACTGAAGAATACAAGTCTCCAGCTCCTTTCAATGTATCCTGAGTAGACATCTGAAACAGTTTTAACTAACTTAGGGTGCTAATTTAGGGCAGCAGTTGGCTCAAATCACATTAAAAATTATGGGGTTTTTTTTTCCTCTTTATCCTATCTATACAAAAACTGTTTCAGAGGAAAGCTAGGAAGAAGAATCAGTTCAGCCAGAATGCTCATACAGAGTACCCTCTTCTTTAACAGTTTCATCACATTCAAGAAATTATGATTCCCTGGTTATAGTGTTTAATTTTAGTGATTAGCAATTATGTTCCAGTACGTAAAACACAACAGATGAGCCCAAGTGAGCTGCTCAACATTCGCACTCCTGCCCTTCAGAGCTGATCTAGCTTCAGCATCAGCAAAGGGAGTGTGCAGCTGCAGCCACGCCATGTGATGCAGGACGATGTGCCTGGCTCAGCTGCATCAGGACACGCGATGCTCCCTGGCTGATGCACAGCCATTTCACTCCAGTTCCCTGAATCTAGCACATCAGGCTGAGAAAACAAGCAGCAGCCAGACAGTTCTACAGCACTGATGCTCTTTGCAGTGTGGAAGTGAGACAACTCCCTTTCTTGCTACCATGCTCCTTCCCCATTTCCAAAATGCACTTCTAGTATGTTTTAGCAGAGAGCAGACCATTTGTGATTAATCACTGCTGTACGCAAACAATTAATCATGTTACTTTTACTCTCTCTGAAAATGAAACTTGGACTTGCTGGTTTAAGTTTTAAAATATTACTTGTGATATTGAAAAGAATTAAATAGAGAACAGTTTAGCAATTCCCTCCCCCGTAAAATCGACAGTTAGGAACAATTCTGCATTTTTGTATTAAATTGGCACCGTAACACATATCCAGGAAGAATATACAGTTTATTACTACAACACCCAAACTGAAAGCCACCCCTCATTGTTACATTTTAATACACCAACTCATGCATGAAGTAATTTTCTCACCAACATTGTCTTCCCATTTCCTGGTGGGCCGAACAGCAATAAACCACGTGCAGGAGCTCTAAGTCCTGTAAATAACTGAAAAGTACATCATCATAAGTTACCTTCAAAGAGTTAAAGAAAATGTCGATTTACCTTCGTAAGAAAATGGTTTAAGATTGAGGAACGGCTCACTGGCTAGCAGTGTAGCAATAGTAGCGGTGCTACAACAACAGTACAGGTTTTTAGAGAACTACATTCTATCACTAACTTGACCTAATGCACATCACTATTGTTTCCCACACAACAGTTAAATTACATCATGAGCATTGTGAGCATAGAGGCACTGTGAAAGGAGTATAAAAGGCAGCAACACATTGCACAAGACAGACCAGCCTAACAAGCTTAAAGTCCCAATTGCATTTAAAAAGGGGGGAATGAAGGTGTGTAGAAAAAGAGTTAAAGCAATGTTCCTACTAACTCCATATGGAAGAACCCCTTCGTCTTTCTTTTTTTTTATTAAATGAAACTTGAAAAGACAAGCTTTGATCAAAACGATTTAAAATATTACTTAACAACCACCTACCTTCTCTAAATGCAACTGATAATAATCTCCTCCCTCTCACTTTGCATTGGATTCATCTTTCCTACACTATAAAATTGCACACATCATATGTAGCATAACAGCAAGCAAATCTACAAGTTCTCATAGAGTACACCTCTCTCAGTTACTCCCATAGCCTGTTTTCCCCAGCACTTTGTATTTACCACTTTTCTCAAGAGTTTCAGAGTTCCTTTTTTGGTCTCGCACTCACCCCTCTATTCCAGCTTCCAATAATTCCAACAACCAACCAAAAGGAATAGTAGGGAGTCTCTTATATATACACACCACGTCTAAACACCACTGTCGGCAGGCATTTCTTTCCACAATATCCATGATAACAAATGGCTCCATTACCAGTGTGGTGTTTCTACAATGACCGACCAACATGCGTTTTCTCTATTATTTCATCATTCGCAGCATTTTGTTTGTGCTTGACTTTGATCACTAAAAATAGTTACCCAGTGTGATCCTATTCACTTATACAGACCACCTACATTACAAACGTATTGCAGTGTTTTAACCTGGATAACTACATTCCTCAAGTGTTTCTGCTTTCCACGTAGCACACCACCATGTGCATCTCCTGCCTGACTCCTTTTGTTTGGAATCATTCTTTGGGAGTTCCACCATTTTCAGATAGTCCAGACCAAATCTACAACTCTCCCTCACCTTGATCATCACATACACAGTTCAGCTGCAACTGCCATTTATCTCTGAGACACGCTAAGCTTTTAAAGTTTTTGTTAACAGACATGTTACCATACTAAACTGGTCTGAACTAATTGCTACCATTTTATTAGCATCTTACTGCTGAAATGGTTGCAGCCAGTGTTTTCTGTTCATTCACCTCAACTCTTGTCCTGCTCTCCTACAAAAATACCATTAATTGGCTTATTTAAATATGAATTTGAGCTCAAAACTCACTGAGGTTAAAACTGAAGTAGTATTTAATTTACTAAATATTCCCTTATAATTGCCACATCTACCACGTTCATTTACAAGGAATAAAACCAACCTCTTTTCTTCCAAGGAACATTTAAAAATTTGCAGGATTTTCTGTCCTTGTTATGTCTCAACCTACACCAAAGGTCAGGCCCATTGCTAGCTACAATAATACAAAGAAGATCTTATTGAAAATATCAACCATTATTGGAAAAGAGTCATAACTAATCCAAGCCTCACATTTCAAAGTCCTTCCCACCCAGCTCATTGTGAACAACAAACTTGACATACTAAAGCACTGTAATAGCAGAGATGGGACAATGACATTTTCCTTCTGCATAAGAATACCAGAACATGCATATTTGATGCCAAAGCTTTGATTTCCTCAGGGCTAGTATTACCATGATGCTATGCCAGGTTTAGGATTTCTTCCCCGTGACGCTTCAAAACCAGAAACTGGATTAAAGGAAAGAAGAAGACCACAGAGCAACTCCAGTCATCCATCAATGTGACAAGAGAGACCCACAAGCAAACAAAGAACAAACAGCAATTTTGCTTGAATCATCAGCACTGCAGTAAATAATTGCATGCAATTTCTGCAAAAGTCCAGCAACTTTTAGCAACTCCAGCTTTAGAAAATGACCAATTTAATTTTTTAAAATGTGGCTCAGAAAATTCCAGTAGTATATAGACCAGACCTGAATCTAGGCAGTCACAGTAGTTGAGGTACCACCTCAAATAAAATAAAAGCCTGAACAACCTATTTCCACTCAGCCAAGCAAAGAGGAAATCTGCCCTCAAATGTTATACACCTCAGTGTACTTGCTTGTTCGCTACTACACTTCTTTGCATTCTCTTCTGCTGTGAATAGACTATTCAGAATGTCTAACCAACATCCACAGAGAAAACATGACCACAATACCAACTTAACATTTTTCAAATCAGATGAGATTTGTATAGGTAAATTAAGTCATCTGTTTCACTCTCCCTATTATGGGCTTTGTCCTTTACATGTCCATATAGGGTTAGACACACAGCTATAGCTATCTGGAAGAACAGTCAGCCTCACAAATTTTCAGGATTTTTTTTTGTTGGTTTGGTTTGGTTTTCTAGAGGTTTGTGGTTTGCTGGTTTTTTTTGTTTGTTTTGGGTTTTTTTTTCCTAAGCTATTGCCTTAGTCACTTTCTCCAAAATTGACTAAGCAGAAGACAAGGAATTTCATTGTAGTATTTTAACATATAAATTCTTCATTCTCCTTTTCCAAGACAGCTATCACCACACAGCTATCGATAGCAATCATAACCAGTAAAGACAGGATTCAAGAATCACCACTTCATGTGTGAAGCACAATACATTTCTTTGATTCTGTAACAGAGTGATAACAAAACCAGCTGCTTACCTCAGGTCTAAGAGAAGGAAGGATAACAATTTCTTGCAAAGCTTGTTTAGCCAGTTCCTGCCCTGCGATATCATCAAATTTGACAGCTGGGCCACTAACAAAGAGATGGAATACTAATTAGTCTAACAATGAGATACTCTTTTTCAGCTGCAGCTGACTAATTTAATGAATTTGACTATTTATACAGAACCCTTTTGAGGAAATTTACAACTTATATTGCTAAGCATTTAAAAAGAGAAGCATTTCTGATTTGAATTTTCATCCTTTTGCCAAAGTAACAATAACAAAAAAAACCAAACCCAAAACAACCCCCAAAAACCCCACAACAAATAAAAAGTACTAATTTTCATTCCAAGTGACCAAGTGGACCAAGACTGTACTGAACAAAAGACTCGTTCTCTGCATTGAAAAGTCTACTTTCCTTCAGACTTACCTATCAACAATTTCATTCAGGATAAGATTAGCAAGGTTACTGTCCACATTTCTAAATATTTTCAAGTCTTTCTTTTTTCGAGGAGCAGTGGTAGGAGTAGAAGGCTTATTTGTTCTGCTATTTTTAGGAGCAGCCTGGAGAAGGGGGGAGGAAAAAAAACAAACAAAAAACCAACTTGATATTTTTAAAGCATATCGTTAACAAAATTTCTTTTAAATTTCATATGCTCCAGTAAAACCTGATACCTTAACACATACCAGATATTCTGACGCTGTATTTTACTACAAATCATATTATCATATTCAGCCACAGGCAGAACATCTTAGGCTCCAGTGGAGAGGGGTTTTCTGGTTTGATTTTGGGTTTGGGAATATTTTTTTTTTTTTTTACGATAATTCATTTTATTTAACTATGGTATTTTCCCCCAGCATACTCTAGAAATAGAGCACCACAAACTGTTTTAGATTCTCAATATTTATAAGCAAGAATTTCTACTGCTGTCATACTTTGCTAACAGGCCATTTAAAAACCATCATATTATAGCAGCAATAATGCTTAACTACATTTATGTTCTGTCCATTCTGCTTTTTATTCTACTTTACCATGGGAGTAGCAAGGGGGGGAG